CTGTGACTTTTTAAAATGTACAGGCTTTGATAAGATTGTTTTCAATAAAACCTGCAACATTGTTGCATACGTGAAATAAAACATAATTTTAATTTTTATCTCAATTATTGTACATTAAAACATGGACACTTTTTATAGCCTACCCTGTACACTAATAAAACATCTGTACAGATGTTTTATTAGTTTACATTTTACGTAAAATGTAACATCTGTAAAATTTTAACATCTGTAATAAAACCCTGTAAACTAATTAAACATCATTCCTAAACCTTCAAGAACTTTTTTAGATTTAAAAACAGTTAGTAGTTTGTTGCCATGGTAACTTTTAATTAATCTTAAGATTGCTAAAAATTGATAAAATTTTAATAAATAGCGGATTTTTTTCGATTGCCTACTGAAAAATAATAGTTGCACTGTTTAAATATCGATAATGCAAGAGAAACAATAAATAGAAAAGGTCTTAGTTAACTTTAGCCATGGTCGGTGTGTTAATAAATAGAAGTTTATTATTAAACAATTTATTGTTAATTAATTTATTTTATTATTTATTTTATTAATAATTAATTTATTGTTAATTAATTTAATTTACTTTAAATTTATAAATAACTTATCATTAGTTTATAATTAATTTATTGTTGCAAAATGACCACCGTCAAGAAAGATTAGGCAACTATTAATAGTAATTTCAATTATAGTTTTAAATTTTTACAAAACTAGGTTTGTTAGTTAGTTTTTTACAAATTACAAAATAAAACTTTAAAAATAATTTCCTTCAGTATAACAAAAAAATTGATTTTTTTGACTAGATCAAAAAACGTTAATGTTGAAAAAACTGATTATATTTTTGAATTTTTTTTGTTAAATAGTTTTCTAGAACTAACAGATTTTTATTTAAAAGTTAATTTAAAATAACGTTATATAATAAAAAAATAAATGTATGGTATTAAAGCCATATTTAAATTTTGTTTTAGGACACAGTTGTATTATTTTTTACTAAAAAATTATTTTTAGGTTTATTGCATATACATTTAACCTTCTGTCAATGTAAACAACATTAATATATTTTAAACTGGTTTCTATTTTTGTTATTATTATCATTTTTATAAAAGTCAATCATTTTTTATTGTTTGCAGTGACAAATTATACCAAACACACACATAACTATTGAAAGATAGACAGCTTTTATTTGCTGGTGATCTAGAATAAAATAATTAAAACCCATCATCTTTCCCTTTGCTATGGGAATGATAATGAATGTGCCAGAGAGTCCCTTTTGCCCTCCGGTTATAGACGGAAGCTCTACCTGACTGTAAATTTGTAAATTTATAGCTCACAATTACACCTTTTATTAGAAAGTTCACTTCAAGTAGGCAAAATTATAGCAATGTTTGTAAAGAAAGTTTTATTAGTTTTTTAACACTGAATTTTAGTTTTTCTTTTTCGAAATTTGTAAATATTTCACCAAAACAATTATATTTCAGAATTTGAAATATAATTGTTGTGGTGCAGAGTCTATAACGCATACGCAACACTAAATTTATAAACATTTGTGCCCAATTACTTATAAACCTTATAATTTATAAACTTATTATTTAGAAAGATTTTAAAGACTTTTTGATTTTGATAACAATTTACTTTAAAAATTAAAAAAAAACATTAAAAATCTTTTTTTAAAATCCGATTAAAAAACCTTTCCAATGACATATAACATTTAAGTACTAAATAAATATAAAAGTTTCAAAACGTGTACCAAACTACATACCTATTATACCTAACTTTATAATACTTTTAGAAACCTGAAGTACAGTAAAAAACATTTAACATAATATTAATAATTCTTCCTTAGATGGCAATGTCACAATGGTGTCGCGGGACACAACAACAGTTATTGAAGTTCTTACTGAACTACTGGTTTCATTAGAAAACTAACGTTTACGAGATCTTTGACCCAATGTTTGACAATCAATATTTCCTTTGTCTGCACAGTGGCTTGAAAAGCTAAAATAAATTAAAAGTAGGGTTTAATAATAATGATAATAATAATAATAACAATAATAATAACAATAATAATAACAATAATAATAATAATAATAATAATAATAATAATAATAATAATAATAATAACTGCCAAAATCAATTCGAGTTGAATTCATATAACGATGCATAAAATGAACACAAAGGTTGTAAAAAAATGTCTTCAAAAAAAAATGTCATTAATATCTTATTTAGCAAAGTAAGTTTTCATTCCAAACAATCATAAATGGAGCAGAATTATTATGCTCTCTTCACAATGGAATATACCGTAGAGTAGAATATTCATCATGAAGCCAGTATAAATGATATTTCACATACATAAGTTAACTGGGAAAAATTTAGTAAAGATATTTGCAAAGTAGATTTAGAAACTAACCCAGGATTTATCGGTTGTTCTAACAGGGCTATAGTTGATATTGTTTTAAAAGGACTATAGTTGATCCTACAGGACTATAGTTAATATTTTAATAGACACACTAAAGTTCTTTTATTGCATATATCATTGTGGGCAGTTGCAGCTAAGTAATATAAAAAAGTTAAACTAATGGTTTTCTTTCTATAAATCGTCATTGTTTGGGGTCAAGTTGTAAATTATTCATTAAAAAGTTACTAGTTTTTCAGTGACAATCCGTTAGAATAATAAATTTTTAGCTATTTAAATTAGATAATCGGTGTCCTTCAAAAAACTAAATATTCCAACCTTTCCAGCTTTAGTAAAGTTTGCTAATCTTTTTTTTTGTTTTTTACTCTTTACTCATATATAATAATAATATGAAAATAAGATGAAAAACAAATATTGGATAAGATGACAAACATCAATTTATAACATTATTAGAATTTTGAAAATCTCAATCTTTTCTTTAACACTTTTAATTATTTTTTGTATTTATAACCAGTGTAAGTGTGCGAGAGAAGACTTTCCTTATTACAAGATTAACTTAATTTCATTAGACTAATAAATGTTTCAATCTAACACTTTTATGTCTAAAAACTTATGTAAGAATATGTTAAATTTTCCGCAAAATTCTCTACTAGTTTCATTCAGAAAAAATTGAATAAAAAGTAACTAAAATTTTTTAAAACATTTTAAAGCCGAAAGTTTTTTTTTTTTTTTTTTTTGAATGTATCTATAATAATTGAAGCTGTGTTCTTGAGAGTTTCAAGAAAGAATCTAACAACTGTAGATGTTAGATTTTAACAACTGTTTTTCGCTAAACTTCTTAAGTTTATTTTTAAAATCAATCACTGAATTAGCGTTAACAACTTTACTGTCCAAACGATTCCAATTTTCAACCATACGGTTCGTGAAGAAATGATGCCTCGGCAAAAAGCTTTAAACATACTGCCTTCGCAACCTTTGATTGTGTCCTCTAGTTAGCCTACCCAATACTTCTGGTTCACGATGCCAATTGATAGTATCAATTTTGTTCATGAATTTGTACATTTGGATAAGATCACCTTTTTCCCTTCTATTTGATAGATTTTGTAAGTCCATTTTCTCTAATCTTTGCTCGTAACTGTCTTTCTTTTTTTTGTAGCCAAATTTTGTAGCTTTTTGCTGAATTTTTTCTATTAAGTTTATATCTTTAATAAAATATGGGTTCCACACTTGAAAAGCATATTCTAAGTGTGGCCGAACGAGTGACATATATAACAATTTTGTTGATGTTTTATCTGGATAAAGGATTGCGTGCTTTAACATACCCAATTTTTGATTCGCGTTACTTACCATTTTTTCAATGTGGTCTTCCCATTTTAAATTGTATGAAATATAAACACCAAGGTCTCTTTTCAATGACGTTACTATTATTCCATGTTGAATATTCTCTGTTTCTGTAGCACTATTGAATAATCTCTGTTTCTGTAGCATTATATCTATGGCAACTTGTTAAGAATTTTTTGAATGTATCTATGGAAATTTGGTAAGAATTTTGAGGCACTGTGGCGCGCCTCTATAAGTTATTAAAAACTCCAAAATTGGTTTAGCACCATAAATAAGATGTATAATAAATACTCATGCTAGTTTACAATTAAATATCTATTTTACATAATGTTAATGAAAGCATCCTCCTAAATTTACATTCAAAATAGTATTGCAGATACTTAGACATATTGGTATTAGTTTAGGTACCTTTCACATTTAAGAAGTAGTACCTAAGAATTTTTGCTACGGAGTCCTTAACATTCTAATGCGCCTCTAACTTTTATCATAAATCTCAATTAATCACGACACTAAGCACTAACGCCCTCAACTTGAATCATAAATGCCAATAAAATACGATACTACACAATTACGCCACTAACTCTATAATAAATGTCAATAAAATAACGTGCAACATTTTCAAAAACCAATGTTAAAAATATAGAAAAACTAGAAAAGCCAGAAATTACACAAAAAACAAACAAGACTTGAAAAAACATTGTTTAAAAATGCTAACTTTTTTTAAAACGATTTAAAATTTCATTTTCCGTCCATTTGTACTTCCGTCTCTGTTTTGAGAATAAAATGCTGTTAGAAATACAATTTTCTAGACTCTGAGAAAAAAATCTAAAAAGTTATTCCTCCTTTTTGTCACACCTGTTGTTTTGCTGCCCTACGCTAGTCAAACAAAGCTAGAGTTAATTTTTTAAATTTATTACATTAGAATTAAAGTAGAAAAAAAACTTAATTTTTATTCATTTTAATTTCAAACTTAACGTGGAACTAAAGCATAAAAACTTGGATTAAAACAATAAAAACTACTTTAACAAACTGTTTGATTTAAAGTTTTTATGAGCATATATATATATATATATATATATATATATATATATATATATATATATATATATATATATATATATATATATATATATATATATATATATATATATATATATATATATATATATATATATATATATATATATATATATATATATATATATATATATACATAATATTTTTAAAAAACTATGTGTGTATCTATGCTTATGTAATTTTATTGCATTGCTAACTTTACATATGCTGAGAAATTTGAGTTGTATTTTCAAGAGCTACTGGATCAGTATTCGCAACAGAATATGCATCTATGTTTGTAACAGGTATAGTATCTGTAGTTGCAAGAGATAATGCATCCGTAGTTAAAACTGATAATGCATCAGTAGTTGCAAGAGATAATGATTCTGTAATTGCAAGAGGTAATGCATTGGTAGTTGCAAGAGATAATGCATCTATTGCATTTTCTGGATAAGCAGAAATGACGTCTGTAGACGCTTTATTTTGATTTAAAACATTAGAGCATGATGTGTCATTAGAGTGTTTGATTGCAATACTTTTTCTCACATATTCAATGCGAGAACTTTCTTGTGGCTTCATCTTTTCATTCATCCATAAAGTTCTTATTTTGTTGAAAAACAAAATGACTATAAGAAAAAAGTTTGAAATGTTCATTAGCAAGCAATATGAAAATTTTTTATTGTTTGAATCAAAGTTACTTTTCATTAGTCCAAGCATTACACACAAAGTAATACATGATAAAAACAAAGAATAGGCAATATAAATATTTTCATTAAACTTTGATGGAACATTTTTTGCTTTAAATGATTGAAAGCCACACAACAGTGATAAAAAAATTACGTAGCATAAATAAAATACTAAAAAACTGGCAGATTCACAATGTTTTTGCACTGTATGTAATCTTATGTTTATATCATCTGACACATATATTTTATATTTGTGGTTGTGAACAACAAATATTAACGCTATGAATACGCAAGGGAAAAAAACTAACATTACACCAATATGGGATCGAACTACAAACAATTTTTTTTTTGAATGTAAGGAGTGTATACCATGATTAAATGTTGCTATGAGTCTTTTAACTTTTACTAAAATAATTGTAACTATAGTGACGTGTAAAAAAGTGCCAATATATATTCTTGCTATACACTTTTCCTGTGTCTCTTCTCCAAATGCTAGAAGTGGTAAAACGAACATAACAAGATGCATTGTCATTTGTAGCAAAGTCAATTCATAGTTAGATGACCGAACAATTAGGGTGAGTTTCTTTTTTAAAAACGTAAATATAAAAAATATTGACGTCATTATACCGATAATGGAAAACAATAAAATTAAAACTTGATGTAACAGCAGTTCATTACTTTCTAAATTCCAATACAACCTTTTATATTGGTAACAATTTTCGTCTGCAGAATTATCAGGACATGGATTACATGTCCAACAACAAAAGTTGCCTGATCTTATAAATCCTAGTTCACAAGGATCCGAACAAACGGAGAAAATATTTGATAGAAGGCGTTTGTTTTCTATTATTAAACGACTTTCATTAGTTTTATTATAGTTAGACCACTTAGCAACCAATTGAAACGAATTACTAGGACAAGTATAAAGTTCAAAATAAGACATCGATTGAGGGTTATGATTTGAACTAAATGTAAAATTAAATTCGTTTAAAGTAGAAAAGTTAACTTGTTTTAAAAGCTCTAAAAACTTTGTTCTATTATTAATACTCTGATAGCCAAAACCTTTTTGGTTCAAAGAAACTAATTTTTGGTAACAAAAAAATGACTGAATTAATGCTTTTACAGCGTTTTGAACATACACAACTTTGCTGAGATCAAATACTTCTGAAATATTTTTCACAGTAAAGTTTGTTGTGTTTTCATTGACTTTATATTTTTGAAAGACTATTTTTAACCATTGACTTGAATTTTGATAACTTAGACCATAAAAGTAATTTTTAAATGCAAGATCTTCCCCGTCTGTCTGAACTACTAAAAATATATTTGGATAGTTAAAAAAAAAAGAGTTTTTACCTACGGCTTCACTGACTATCCATATTTTATTAGTTAAATTTTGAACTATTGTTATTTGCAACAAGTTACGAAGTGGTAGAAATGTTCCCCAAAACACTATAACTTTTGATAAACTAGTGTGAAGATACATTGAAATTTCGGCATATTTTTTTGCTTCAAAGTTATTTGGGACTTTGTCCATGTAGTCTATGCAAATGCCATTTTTTTGAAAACTATTTATTTGCTGAGTTTTTCCACCCCTTCCGTACGAGCTATCCACCCATAATAACGATATATAATTTGAGTTTGTCTTTTTAATTAAATCACTTATAAAATCCGCTTGATAAGCATCAGAGGAAGTTGTTCGGAAAAAGTTTGGATATAAATTTTTGTCGTCTAGTTCTAAGCTTGTTGCTGCGTAGCTGATTATAGGAAAGTGTTTGTAAGGCAGCGTTAATTGATTAACGTAAATAGAGATAGAAGATTCTGCCGGTCCAACAAAACCTAATATTTTACTATTATTAAGGTTTTCATTTAAATCAGCGCAAATATTGTAGCTGTTTACTTTGTTGTTGCAGTTGTTGCCGTTGCTTTCACTAATATTATTGTATTCATTAGTGTTGCTCAAAGAGGAGTATAAAAAACTGTCTAGTACAGCAAACGTTGTCTTGTCCGTGTTCGACGTGTTATGCGTATCGTAAATCACATAACCAAATATGCTTTTGTTGTGTAAACTATTTTCTTCGTTTATGGTGTACTTTACAGCCTCCATCCATGCAATGGTTCTATTGTCTATATTAGAAGGTGTTGAACATCCCATGGGAAACAAGCCGATTATTTTAAAGTCTCCCTCAACAACACTTTCGATTTTATTCTCCATACATTTCTGACATAGAACGATACCGATGACTAAAATAGTTATTATGAAAAAGTTTAGTTCAGTGCTAAAAACAAGTTTTAATAACAACCTTTGCTCAAACATTTTGTGTACTTGCTTATTTTATAAAAACTACTTGGAAATTAATAGTTTTCATATATTTTGAGGTTTTAAAAAGTATTTATTTTTTAAGTTTAGATTACAAAATTATATTAACATACAATAAAAGTTGTTATAAAAATGCAAATACGCAAACAGCGACAAACAATTACATACGCTTAACATATCCTATATACCATACTACGCGATCATTCCATAAACAAAATTCTATTATTTAAAATCATATATTAATAATACTACTTTTAATGGTATTATAATACAATTTTCTGAAATCGTGATTGCTTAAGATAAGTTTATTGAAAAGGCTATTGTATTTAGAATCTTATTGAAATTTTTTTAAAATAAGCATCTCAACGTAGTATTATTCTGTTAAAAAAAATATATATAGAGAAGAAAATTTAGAGTACAATAGTAGATAAAATATAAATGCATTTTACTAATTATTTCAGAACGAAATTTTTTGATCAAACGGAAAATGAAAACATCAAACTCAAAACATCACGATGCTTTCTTGAAATTATTTACGTCACAGATTGTTACCTGTACATTTTTGGTTAAATGGAACGAATATCTTTATTACTTCATTAAGATTTAAACATGGAATATAATAACTTACCATAGAAAATACAAACAGAGCAGTGTTTTGAATAACAAATTTTAATATAAATATTTAGCATCTTATCTTAACTTAGAATAAGAAAAATCTCTTATAGGCGTCATCCACTCAGTTCTACCAGCTGCAAAATAATTTTAAACTAATAAATTAATACAAATATTAAATGTATTAAATATCATAACTTGCTATGTTTGAATTAGAAAGTAAATTTTTAAATAGTCAATATAAGTAACTGACTACATGTTTTACTTTATTTTGAAAATTGGAAAAGATAGCCAAATATCACTAGAAAAATATTTGTACTCATTGTTTTTTTCCATGAAATTCTTTTTGGTGGCTAACACAATACACCTACTTTAATCCAACTACAAGGAACAACATCTTAAATTACTCGAGAGCGTTCTTTTCATATGTTGAGTGACCACATTAAAATTTTCAATAATTTGATAAATAAGAAAACCCGTAAAAAATAGTAAATTGAAATTCTAATAAAAATTTAAAAATTAATAATAAATAATATCAGTCTAAAAAATATTATACTAAAAAAACAAAACCTTTTAGTTATTATATGTAAATACCTAACAATAATAAACAATTATATTCAGGCGTGTAAGTTCTAGGGTTACCTAGAACGTATATCCCTGAATATAATATAATTTTTCTAGTTTGAAATAGACACTTTGAAACTGATATTTGATTCTATTATAATTTGAAACAATTGTAAAAGAATCCAAAATATGAATAATAGTAACAATGATAATAGTAATAATAACAATGATATCAATAGGATAAATATCAATAAAAACAACAATAATAATAATAAAATTATTTTTATTGTTAATATTTTAACAATAATAATAATTATAAATAATTTTATTATTATTTGTAAAATTGATTAGTAAAAAAAAAAAAAAAAAAAAAAAAAAAATATTAAAAATAAAAAATCACACGAAAATGGTAAGTTAAAATGACTGAAGTACTATTATTATTTCCATACATCATTTTATATACTATTAGTATTTCCTTACATCGCACAGTGGGAACATTCCATTGAAATAGGTAGCTAAAAATATAACCGTTGTATTTATGTGGATATTAAGGCTTAATTGAATAAAATAGATATTTGAGATATTATTCTTTTTTATTTTTGTATTTAAACAGGTCAGTTGCATCAACGGGGTGGGAAAATCCACTTGAGCACTAGGGGCACCAGTTGGAATTTTTTTTTTATTTGTCATACTTTCGGACATTGTTTATATAATGGATAATTTTCCAATGCTCCAAACTTGTTATGTTCATTCTCAAGTCAAAATATGTTTTGCAAAAAATTGTGGTGAGAGAAACTCGGGATCAAAATTACCCCAAAAGGTTAGCCCCTCCCCCCCCCCGCCAAAAAAAAAAGTATTAATATTATGTCTATAAAAATAATATAACTATGTCCATAAGTAATAATATTACGTCTACCGGATAAAAACAATATTAATAACCGGATAATAATAATATTGAAGCAGCCATGGATCATGAAGCAGCCATGAATAATGAAGCAGCCGTGCATAATGAAGCAGCCGTGGCGCAGTGGTATCACACTTGACTCAGAAACGTAAGTCCGTGGTTCAAACCCCGCCTCTGGGCAAGTTTTGCAACATCGGTTGGGAAGGAGGCGTGAACTTCTTATCAAATGCTCCTCCGCGGTGCTCTGTGATAAGATCGTAATGACTTTTTGGGGCACCTAAAATCAGCACAAAAAAAAAAAAATATTAATAATAATAGTAATGAGGGCAATGAGTCTAAAAAAAGGTTTTTGCTGCTATCTGATACTAAATTTAAAAAACCTCATTATAGTTTTTATAACTTTAACAGATTATTAAATGGGGATTAAATTCTATCGTTTTAATTCTTCTAAACATATAATAAATAATAATAAAACTAATAATAAAAAAAAATTAATAAATAAACTTTTGAGATATACTTGTTTCCAAAAAATAAAGACTTAGATGATTTAAATATAAATCATCTAAGTCTTTATTTCATCTGATTCCATTTCAGATGAATTTTCTTTATAATCGCTATAAACTGCTAACAAACTTTTAACTTTTTCCGGTAGGCACAATACTTTCTTACTTTTCACAGTATTTTCTTTTTTTTTAGTTAATGAGATTGAACTAATTAGGGGATCAGAAGTATGTATACTTCGAATGAAAATGTCAAACAAGTTTGTTTCTCTACTTTTTTTCCTTGCATGATGTTCACAATCGAATTTATAAATTCTATGTCGAGATTTAACTGCTTCCTCTTTTATTAAACCAAGCGGAACTGGTGAATTAATAATAATTTCCCCAGTATGTGCTAATACTTTGTGAACGGAAGCTGGGACCTTGAGCCAATATGTCTCTAACAACTTCTTATATGTATCATTGCAGTATTTATCATTTTCTTCCAGATCAATTGGGTCTTTGCAATTGATTGCAATTAGAAAATTACGTAATCTTGTAATAATTTCTTCATCTATTTCTAAAATTTTGCTGAGTAATAGAGGGTCAGAAAAAGCTCGTCGGCATAAATTTACGGTATTACTAGTTCCTGATCCGCGAGCTCTTGGTTCATCATTTCTCAAACCAAATTCTTCAAATATTCTAAAACATCAATAAATATTGATCTTTTAAAACCTTTTTTACTTTCCAAGTTTTCATTTTAACTCTCTGTGAAATATGTAAAATAAATTCAAAAAACCTAATCCAAGCATGAAGTTGTGAAATGCCGTAGCACAATGCCTGCCCATCTGTAACAAAACCTTCCATAAAGATTTTTAGATCGCTCATCATGTTAGGTGTGGCGTGACAAATCGGACAACATTGTGTCTAAGATGTAAACTAAGAGTTTTCCATCAATCGTTGAAAAGAAAAAACTATAGTTAATAAAAACATATTTATGTTCTAGAAGATAAACTTTAACAGGATGTAAATTTAGAATTTCTTTATCAATTTCCTCCTTAATTTTTAATACTACTTTTTTGCTTTCCTATATATACTCCAGCATAATTGGTTTACAGAATCTATTACTCTGAGACATTATATTATTCCATAAAATATTGTTTGAATCTGATTATACATGTAGTCGAAAAGGTGATATAGCTGTAACTAATTGATCCGAATCTTGAAGGTTATTTTGATTGGAATCATTAAAACATTGATGGTATTTTGTTTGACATGATGTTCCGTCCATACCCCAACTACTAATTAGTATTAATTCATCAAAGTCTTTTTTTTTTACTATCAAAATGTGTTAGATTTTTCTTTTCCTTTAGTTTCACAAGCCTCTTGGATGTGTGATCCATAAGATCCTGTAGTTTAACTTTGGCCTTTGTTTCAGTAAGTTTAATGGATGTTTTTAAAGTTGAGCACTAGTTTTTGATTTCGGAAATTACTCAATAAGATGGAAATCTGTATGGTGCTTCTTTATGAGAATTTTCATAAGCACTTTTTGATAGTTTGTTATCTAAAAAATATGCAAAAACTTCTTTAGACGTCATTTTCTCTTGCAACTTGGTTAGCTGAGTGTAAAGAAGTAACGGTTTGTGTCGCCTCTTCGTCATGACACTAAGTAACTTGACTAAATCAAAGTCACGTTTATTAAATGCTATTCTTTGAGCCACTAACAATAATTTTTCGACGGATTCCTTTTTTGAATCAAGTGATAAATTTGCTATCAATCGTCTTTTGGTGCGAGAACTCGATTTATCGAACTTTTTCTTGGTCGACCTCTTTTTGCTGATTCATTTGTTAAACCTTCGTGATTACCAGGTGGTTCAACTGAATCATTTGTTTTAAAAACTGAATTTAGCCAAATCTGATTTCTACTATCAAAAACTTTTATTTTTTCGATATGATGCATGCCATAGTGCAACATACTTTGTAAGAGTTAGTTTTAATCTCTTTCTTAATAAATTTATTTTGTCTTCTCTGACTTGAATCCTAGTAATAATGTATTCAAACCCACTATTTACATTATATAAAGTATTTTTTAAAACCTGAAAACATTGCACAACTTGTCTTAAATTGATTTCCTCCATTATCTTAGTTTTCAACAATAAACTTACAAAATTAAAAGAAACTTTTAACATTTAGAAATTCATGTGGTTTTTGGTCAATCAGTGAGACATAAAAAATGCACTTTAGAATTATTTTTTTAAATTTATTATGTATCTTAAAATCAGTTAATATAAAAAAATAACTTTTAAACACACTTAATATAAAAAAATAACTTTTTTTCTTTCAATAACAACACGAAAACAAATTTAGTTTAGTCTTTCATGCCTTTAAGTAGCTTTTTTTTACTTTTAGAAATGAACGAAAAAATTGTTTTTATTCGAAGTTTTTTATTTTTTTAAAAAAAACATATATTTTTCAAAATTTGTTTGCGCTCAAGATTGCGGATGATTGCAGCTACATTTCTCAGTGTTGTTAGTAGACACTATAGACTAAAAAGTATCAAAATATGGAAAAGGTACAAATTGGAAAAGTTTTTTTAGTTCTTCATCGAAGTTAAAATTTACTTTTGTAATGATTTTTTTTAC